CAACCAAACGAGAAGTACATCAAGAAGTTTTTGGAACTGTATGACATGGGTAGGTTGAAAAGCAAAGCGACACCCGAACACGTGGATTTAGTCAAAGAGGACAAGAGCAAAGAACTTGGACCTGAAGAGACAAAGAGGTTTAGGTCTGGACTTGGATCAGTTCCGTATTTGGCTCAGGACAGGATTGTCATTCAGTATGCCTCAAAGTTTCTAGCGTCAAGTATGTCAAAACCCACTCAGCAACCCTTGAAGTGCCTGAAACACCTGATACTGTACTTGTCAGGGACCGCAAGTCGGTCGACACTTTTGCCATACAGTGCTTGTGGAAAGCGACGTATCACGAGATTGAATGGCAAGGAGGATGATGATGAGATCCCTCCTGGAACTACCCACGTAGTGGAAGCGTATTCGGACAGCGATTGGGGAAGTGTCAAGACCCCAGACAAAGCCCGAAGGAAGTCTACATCGTCAGGAATCATTGTACTGGACGGTATACAAGTATTGAGTTTCTCAAGGACGCAGAAAGCCACCGCATCGTCTAGCTGTGAAGCAGAGTTGTATGCATTGAGTGGAACCTGCGGAGAAGCTATTCTTGTTGGACGTTTGTTTGAGTTTCTGAGTCGGGAGAAAGTACAAGTGGAAGTACGCTGCGACTCCAGCTCAGCGCGACAATGGAGTCAGCGAAGAGGAGTTGGACGTCTGAAACATGTAGACGTACGACTGTGTCAACTACAGGATTGGGTCAGAGAAAATGTAGTGAAGATCGGAACTGTAAAGACAGCATTGAATTTTGCTGACCTGAACACGAAGAAGTTGACGTATGCCAGNNAGAGCATTCCTCATGTATTTCCTATCTCAGGTAGAGTACTCCGCAGATGGAGAGATCACTCACACTGGAGTGGATGAGTACGAAAGGCACGAACAGGAAAGAAGCTGAAAGAGTATGTGGGCAGCAATCAAGTAAAGGACCTCATCAGATTGATTCAAGTATTCAGCGTGATCAAATCCGCAACCGCAGTTTGGGCCGAAGGAGAAAAGTGTAGTGCCCCAGAATCCTCAAGGACCGACGCAATGGAGGATGCAAAGTACTCGAAATTCGAAGTGTGTATGCTTGTGATGGTGGTGCTGCTAGTGCTACCGCATGTCTGGACAGTGGTACAGAAAATCCGTCGTGTATGGATGAAGCTGGCAGCTGTTGGTATGGTCAAGATCCATTCCCAAAGTCGGAACCGCGTATTTCACAGATTTCGCAAACCAAGTTGTAGATTTGTTCAAGGTGAACCCGCGTACTGGAAGTTTCCTGCATATGGCAGAGGAAACAGCACGGCAGCAAGGCTACCGCCCGTGTGTTACATTTGCTGGCCAGAAGCTCGGGACAGAGGAAGAAGAGAGTACCGTGGATGATGAAGAATGGGAGCTTACCGAAGAAGAAGCTACAGGAAGCGGAAGATGCACTCAAGTATGTTCTTGGTGCCAGGAAAGAGTATGTTCGAGGAACAAGATCGGACATCAGAATTGCGCGTACAACGAATGTATCAGAGAGTATGCGGAAAGCCAGTGGAGAAAGAACTACGACAGAAGCCCAGCAGCTGAACAAGGAGACCGCAGTTGGAATGAAGGACAGAGTAGTGGTATGCGAAGAAGAAGTTTCCAAGAGGACCGCTACGCAAGAGAATCCCTGGAGTATATGCCACCAAGACTTTGTGGCAAAGGGAACCGACGTGCTGGAAAGCGTGGAAGAGCAGCAGTCGAAGGAAGGATTGAACCAGCAATCCCAGAGAACAGGTACGAAGACCAGACGCAAGCAAGTTTCACCCAGGAAGAAGACACGCCTGGAGCAGGCGAGAGTGATGGCGTAGAGCCAGGTACGCCCGACTCGACAGAGAACCGTACCAAAGGACCTCTCGGGTTCTACTGACGTAAGTCCTACAGCCAGAACTTCAATGGAAAGCAGAAGTGAGTGTAGGCAGAAGTTTCACCCCGCAAACGCAACGCTGTAAAAGCGAGTGGAAAATCCCTGCGTGAGCAGCCAAACGAAATGTACGTGGTTGCCAAACCTAAGAATGGTACGAGGTATGTGTTACTGTACGCGATGTCTGAGGAAAGGCCTTTTTGGACAAATCCCTTAATTGGG